ATTAACCACCCCTTGGCTTTATCTCCCAATGAGAATAGGACTAACCGCAGCCTAATAGCGTCATCCGACACTCCGTTCGACTTGAAGGTGTCACAAATTTCCAAGAAATTTGCAATATGCTGATTCGGATCTTCCTTCAAATCACCATTAAATCTAACCGACTGTTAGATCATCTGGATGATTGCCGGCTTGATCTCGAAGTTGTTTGCTTGCACCGTAGGTCTAGTAATACTCGACCCACTACCATTCACTGTGGGAACTGAAAATTCCCTCAGTGTCCTGTTTTCTGGTTCAGCCATTTCAACAACTATTTCTTCTGCTTCTACAACTAAATCCTCTTTTTCTCTTCTCTCTCTGTTACGTCGTCTAACGGTTCTCTCAATCTCAAGATTACTGGTTGACGTCTCGTTCTTCGCATAAACTGCAAAAACAGAATTGAAGGAAAGTGAGATCACAAACCAACTGAAAATTAAAAACAAAAAACAAAAACTCCAATCTAGCTAACTATAGACAGACTCAATGTTAACTTAAAACAAATCCCCGGCAACGGCGCCAAAAACTTGATACGTTGTAACTACAACACGCAAATGTAGCAAGTATACTAGTCGCACAAAGTAATAAAGTGATGAGTGAGTATCGTTCCCACGAGGATTGTTAGCTAAGCACTAAGTATTCTATTGTTCTCAAGTTGGAGCAATCGATTTCTTTGGATTGATGGGAGCTATTTCTAATTAAACTGACAAATAAGTTTTAAACTAAAATTAACTATGAATGCAAGATGAAAGACATGGATAGAAATCAATTCAAGTAAAAAAGGTAGGTTTTTGACTTCATTCGGATTTTATGGGTTAAACCTAAAAATTAAACTACATTCACATTCATATGCATTAGTTGTAAATCGAACTCACTAAGGTGTTAAACATACCTTCTCAGGCTATGTTTTCCTATTCTTCCTTTTTAACCTTCCGCACCCAACAAATTGAAAGTTAACAATTCCAAACTCATTAAGCAAAAGAATCCTACAATGATTTCATTAATTCTTGAATCTATCTCTAGCATCCAATACTATAATGGTGATTACCCAAGAAGCCTAACATGAATCATTTCTCAATCTCATCATGTTCATCACATAAAACATTTAAAACTCAGAGCAAACACACAATCAAAGCATAGTCATATGAACATAACATGATCAATAACTTAACCCATTAGAAATCCGAATTACAATCAAAACCCTAACCCAAAATGGGTTAGTTCATAGCTAAATTAACACTACAAATAAGAAAAACGATAATAGTCAAGTTCAACATAATGAAAAGTAAGAGAAAGGACAAGAAATCTCCCCAAATGATGAATCCCTTGGTTCAAAATCCAATCTTCACCCTTCTAATCGTTAAATCTCTCCAAGCTTAATCAAAAACAATGTAAAAGTTGCTAACCCTACTTCCTGGACCACCCTGGGCAAAAAGGTTAAGTGTTTCTTTTATACCTCACCCCAAATTTCTCAGAAAAACATGCACAAAGTAAAACTATGCGTTTTACAAAACTGGAAATTACGAATGCGAAGAAAGAAGCAGACTTGTTCGTGTCTGGCGTACTTCGCCGTGGCGAAGGCCAAGTCTTCGCCACGGCGAAGCTTCTTGAAAAGTTCTGAAATTACAGAACTGCCACTCTGCTTGCATCTTCGCTTGATTCTTCGATTCTCGGTGCTCTCCCTTTGGAACAAGCCTCATCGTGCTTTATCCTACTTCAGAACTCACTTAACTTCTGAGATCCGCTAACTTCTGAGTCACAAATAACCAATTTTGTCCTCATTTGCTCAAAAATGTCAATTCTAACCTGAAACACGAAATGTAAAGAATTAAGCAACAATTCAGGTCAAAATGCACCAGAAAGTACCTGAAATCCGAATAAAAAGTCTAATGAAAACTGTATAATCCACAGATTATCAGATGTAGCCCAATCTCTTAATTATGTATTGATCTTTTATTGTTAATTTGTATTAAGAATTCTTCCTAAGTTTTACTATTATTCTTAATGCTTTTGATTCTTAAGGGCCCAAGAATTGAATGAACTAATGGACTAAGTTGAGATCGAGAGCTGATACTTAGTTGGTCTACGATAGTAAAACTATAGGTTGAGCGAACGCTAGAGATAGGTTACCGCGACTTGTGAGGTTTTGGTAAACTCCATAGAGCGTAATGATCCCCAATTGTTTAAATATGATTAGAGATAATTCGGGTTAGTAATTAGGGGTTAATTTGATAATTGTTCGAGAGAAAGTTATTGGAAATTTAGGGAGTTTGACCTGTAGGAAGAGCTTAATAAAATTAGCATAAGAGATCGATACATATGAATAAGAGTTGGTGTGAAGTTTATGCCCTAGGTCTAGTCATCTTGTTTTTACCCAAAGGTTTATTTTAATTGTTCTCTTTTCAGTTTTCTTCTTAAATTCAATTGTTTATTTAATTTAGGTTTTCCTTGATTAAATTTGGATTGATCAAATAGTAATAGGATAGTTTAATTGGTAATTGATAATAGTAATTCCCTTGGGCTCGATATCCGTATTTTATACACTTTATTACTTGAACGATTTCGTACACTTGCGAAAATCAACAACACAAATGCAGAGAAACAGCGATAAAAAGAAGGCAAGAGAAAGGAGGCAGATGCACAGAGCTAGGGTATCGTCCCTGCTCTGATACCATGAAAAGAAGAGAAAAATATTTGCCTTTTGAATAATTTTATTGAATTAGGAGACGTAGCTCTATACAAAAGATTTCCTAGAATCATGCTAGTCTATTCTAGGTATTCTAAGTATAAAAGGCAATTAAACAAATATACAATTAATACAATATATTTGTCAATGAATGGCCAGATATCATTGACCTTCCTTTCTCAACAAAAATGTGTTTAATTTGTGAAATTTGAGTTAATTACTTCATAAATACCCTTTATGGGATCACGGATGTATTTTGAGTATTTTCAAGTTATAAACGATATTTGAATGAAGAAGAGTGATGTTGATGGAATTTTTGACGAGTAGAAACAAACGGTGCAAGAATCGGAATTGAAATGAGGAAGTTATGATGCGTTGAAGACGAGACTTAAAACCTAGAAATTCTTCAAGATGAGCATGCTTCGATGTTTTGATCATAACTTGAGCTGTAGACATCAGAATTCGATGATTCTTGTGGTGTTGGAAAGCTTATTCAGAGAGATATAAAGTTTGTGTTGATGACTTTGCCAAATTCTGAAGATTCCAGACTCGACAGAAAAAATGATCGTTGTAGCGACCATTTATGTCGCTGCAGCGATGGATTGCGAGCCTTTTTGGGTTATTGTATTTTCCTAGTCCAAATATGAATGGTTTAAGGCATTTAATTATTTCCTAATTAACCTACAAACCCTAGCACTATAAATAAGGGTCTTTAATTAGTTTTCAGAGAGATTAGAGAAGGAGAAAGGGCAACTACTATTTTGGAGATCAGGATTCTTGCAGTTTTTATTCACTAATTAGAGAAGTTTTTTCTATTTTTCTTTCTTGAACTCATGTTTATTAATACAATGGTTTTTTTTCATTACTGTAATTATGAACTAAGTTTCTTTTCTATGGCTAAAGATGTAGCCCAATTTATGAATATGTGTTGACTTTATTGTTGTTAATTTTAACTGAGCATTAATTCTAAGTTTTGTTATTGTGTGTAATGCTTTCAATTCTTATGGATCCGAGAGTTGAATGATATCATGAGTTGGGTTCAGATCGAGAAATGAAACCTAATTGGTCTAAGGTAATAAAACCATAGATTAAGCGAACGCTACAGATAGGTTACCGCGATCTGTGAGACTCTGGTAAATTCTATAGAACTTAATGATCTTTTAACTTCTAAATCAAACTTAGAGATATTTTAGATTGTTGCTTAAGGGTTAATTCGCTAATTGTTCGAGAGAAAGTTAATGAAATATTAGGGAGTTTGACCTTTAAAATAAGCTTAATTAGATTAGAAATAATTGTCAATACATATGATTAAATTGGTGTGAAATCTATGCCCTAAGTTTAGTCATATTGATCTTTTTACCAGAGTATTAATAAAATTATGTTTTTGTTTAGTTTTTAGTTTATTTGTTCTTTTTTCATTAAATCATTCTTAAAATTCTGTTTTATTAAATAGTAATAAAATAGATTAGTTTGGTTCTTGGTAAGTAGTTCTCTTGAGATTCGACACTTGTTTGCTCGAATTTTACTACTTGCACGATTTCGTACACTTGTGAATAGCCTTTCAGGCAGCCGGCCACTAGTGTTGGAAGATGGTCAGAATCTACTTAAATGGCACACGAGCGGCTGGATGTGGCTGGTCATGCGCCAATCTGGCATTTTTCGGCCAGATCCACCATGGATATGACCGGAAAAGACCAGATCTACAACCAAAGATCTGGCCACATCTGGTTGTCAACGACGACCATATCTTGCTCATCGTTGATGGCCAAACGACGACTGAGATATGGTCGTCGTCAACGACTAGATCTTTGGTCGTAGATTTGGCCATTTTCGGCTAGATCCATAGTGGATCTGACTAGAAAATACTAAATCGACGTACTACCGACCAGATCCAATAGGTCGTGTGCTATTCCGGCAACTTTGAGCCATCGTCAGATGATGGTGACCGACTGCTGACATTTACTGGGTGGATAAGAATGTTTTTGTTAATTTTAAAACTTTCATTGTAAAAGGTATTTATCTAAATTAACAAATATAGGAGATTAAAAAATACTCTAAATATTTTTAATAAAATATTTTCAAAAAATTTATCAAATACATTTTTAAATTCAAATCATATTCTCGTAATAACAACCCAACTCAACTTTTTAAAAAATACTATTCTAAATAATCTACCAAAAACAGTCATAAATCTCCCGACAAAAAGAGGGAATTTAACATTATTTGTAAATTTCACGAAGTGGTACAAGTCTCTCATGAAGATAAAGCTAAGTGTCTCTCATGAAGATAAAGCCCTCTGGTAATTTTATCTGATAACAATGGTGAATACTACAAATAGTACAAGCTTCAACTTTCCAAACCTGAGTGTCAGAATCCGTACATATAAATTACAACGATGTCTATTTAGACACCGGTAATGGAGGTATCAACTGAAAACTTGAAGCATGCAAACAGAAAACTTCCCTACTGAAAGCTGAAGATACATGACCCTGATGTCTTAGGACTGCGTAAATCGTTCAGTGTCCCATAAAAAGCTTTTTCATGGAAGTTATTTGAGCTTTCATAGTATCTCTTCAACATTTTTAAAGTTCAGAAGTTCACATTCTATTCAATATCATCAATCCAGTCACCATATATTCTACTGATTTTGTCCGGACCCTTCCATTTTTGATGAGATCTTTGCCCTGACCGCTGGATTACAATAGACGACCTCTGTGATGGAACTCCAATATGATAAACATCCGCATGAGGAACCGAAGTGACTGATGCAACAACAGTGTCTGCTGGAGTTTTTGAAGGCACTCCTCCCAGCTTTGAATCTGATGGGGCAGCAGAAGAATCTTTAGTTTCTGTGTCCACAAGGCCACCCCCATATCGATGTAATTCTGTGGTAACAAAAAAAGAATTTGAGAGCTACATATGCAGAACTGTTTTCCACCCTATATTAATAATTGAAGGAAAAAAAAAAAGTAATTTCTACGGTTATGTTCAGCTAATTGAATATGACTACACAACAAGAAGCACTCAACAGTACTTGAAAGTATGAAAAATCTATATGATGTTAGTTTGTCAAGCTACTCATCAGTGGCAGTAGTCCAAAAAAGAGAGATGACAGTCGGCACCAGCACGAGATTAATTTTTATAGAAGCCATAGGCATGAGGAGCATCTCAGTTCCCAAAGTGTGACAGTGCATACAATTAAAAAGAATCCCCAAAAAATTCATAATTCTTACTGGAGATGCTCATATTACAAAGATGAAACCATTATATTTAGCCTAAACACAGTTTAACTCAACATCGATTATACTAAAGTCTATAACAGCTTACATACTTGACTGATGCTAATACTTCTCTCTTGGAGTAGTTCTCAAACTGTATTCTATCAAAACAATAATGTGGATCAATGCATGACAATGTAATCTGGTCAGCTGATGAAATGCCTAGAAATCCTATAACCATACAGAATGTTTGAAACCTGGGAATAGAATCACAAACAATCTTCATGAAAATCCTAAACTGTGAAAATTCAAAGCAGATGAATGACTTCACTTATGTAGCTTCTCAGCAGACAAACCCTTCACTAGTTTTAAAAAGCTTGAAATTTAAACTTTGGCATGAAAAGATTAGAAGAGTTATAAATTTGTGCTCCTTACTTTCTAAGGTGGCTTTCGTGGTAAGAACAAATGGTTGATCAATAGTCAGCAGAGTATGATTCATTCCAAATAAATGCTCTGCACAGAAATGCAATGAGGAGATAGGAAACATCTCTTTCTTTAAAGTTGATGAGAATATGAGATCTGGGCTCTTCCTCTTTCTCTTTCTCTGCAATTATGTGTGTGATGCCTAAGTCACTAAGCTGGTGAGGGACCTTAGATTCTTAAGAATGGTTGAGGAACTTCAAGGCTTAGTTTCATGCACTTCTTGATCTCCTTATCATTATTTATCTCTTGGAACTCTCCCTTCCCTTTAAAAGAACCCAGTTCATTTGCCATTATATACACATCAAGTACTGGTAGCAGGCCCCTAATTAATCCATGACAAAATTTTCCTTTACATATAACATATAACCAACTCTAAAATCAAAACAAGTAATAAAAATTAACACTTCAAAAACCCAAGTAAGTTATGTGTATTTGAAGATCAAGGGAATATATAGTTCAGAAGAGATAAGCAGAAATTTGCACTCCTCTCAAAATCAATGTCAATAGAGTTCTAAACAATGTTTACTAAATTGATACACATGTCAACTTAAACATCTAAAAAGGTTTGTTTGCATACTTCTTTAAAGAAACACCTCTCCATATTAAATTCCAGTGAGACTTAACACAAACAAGGCCAAAGCACTTCATCCTTGACCAGGACTGCTGAGCAAAACGAAGTCTTTTTACTGAAAGCCCAAGTTACCCTATAGAAGAAAATGATAGTCATAGGACTAATATCGTTAGTGCATGATATATAAAACACGTTATATCTTCATCAGTTGCATAAACATGCAACAAGAACAATTATTTTCATTCATCATATATGGACAAAGAATTTTAGAATATAATATATTATCAAACCATATAGCAGAAGCTATTGTGACACTCCATATATAAATAACTTTGTTAACCATAAATACTTACACACAACCTAAAGAGTAATAACATATGACTCAACCAACTTGCTATTATTCATTATAGTTCAAGTCTGTCCATTGAAGCATTTCCTAATCGAGAAAAACTCAAACAAAAATATCTCTCAAGAGTTCAGGTACAACCATAATTAAGCCAAGACCAAAATCTCCAAAATGGGAAGTCTATGTCAACTAATCAGTTCCTAAAACAAATGCATATTATTCAAAGGTAATATTGTCATGCATCCATTTTTCTGTCATAATAATAGGAGATCAATCACCACTTTTCTCGTCAAATTGCATCATCTTGATCTCAATCCAATACAGGCTCACTACTTTCTCAAAATAGAAATAACTTCCACAACCATCAGCAACCAACAATATAGAAAATAATCACATAAAAACAGTTTATTTCGCTCTACTAAAACCGCATAAAGTAAATCTACCAAAAATTAAAAGTTTATACCTTGAGCCCCATGTGCAAAATGACATTTACTCCCGAACGGGCAATAACCAGTAAGTTCCCACTTGTTACAAATCCTCGTCTTCCAATTAGAAGGCTTCACATTCGACCCTCCATTGTTTCCACCAGCAGCAGCAGCTCCACCCCCAGCTCCAGCTCCAGCTACAACTACAGCAGCTCCCCCACCGCCGCCGCCACCACCACCACCACCACCACCACCACCACCATAGCCACCAGGCCCCAAACTTATTGCCACGCTCTCTCTATTCTTACTCTGCTCATCGTGCAAGAACGTGCAATTTTCTCCATACGGACATCCCTCCTCTGTGTAGAACTTCTTGCAATGCCTCCCTTTATATGATCTTTGAGTTTCCACAACAAAATTAGACGACCCCAAAGAGGGAATTTGAAACTCCTCTCTTGGAATATCATCGGAACCCGCTCTCTCCTCTTCATGAGCAGCAACAATCTCTTGCCAGTTGGGAGGCGGCCGTCGAAGCTCTTCTATGCTATGAGCAAAGTTGCAGTTAGTAACATAAGGGCAAGTTCCATTGCGAAATTTACAACAAAGTTTAGTCTTGAAAAACATTTTCCCGATAGCCTTGGATTTAGAATTGGCATCTTGAGTGTTGTTTCTTGACTTTTTGTTCGGTGGTTGCTCACTGCCGGACCTTTGAGACTGGTAATTTGAGTTGGAGTTAGAAGGAGTGTCAAGCGACGAGTTGTTCCAAGCTCGGTAGTCATCTTCGGTGGCCCAAACTGAGGAATCAGATGGATTTGGAATCCAATTCTCAGGAGGCCCATTTCCCACAACGATGTGTACCACGTTTTCACTTGAATCTCGACTGTAATTCATAGTTTTGATCAACAAAAGCAAAACCCTAACTGATGATCAAGGATACCCGGTTTCTAAAACCGGCTAAATTTGATGTGAATTTAAGAAAAATAGTGTAAATTCAAAATTTTGAGAAATGGGTATTTGAGTTTGGAGCAATACTGGATTATCAGACATTAAAGAAACGAGAAATGAAAAATTTGCGATGAAATCAACAACAACAAAAACAGTTGATACAACAGAACAGTTGAATATATAATNTTGCAAGAAGAAAGATTCCAGGAAGGTAGGAGGTGGGGTTGTGTTTGGTCTTGGAGACTTGTTTTCCATCTCAGAAGTGCTTCTAGTTGTTCTAGTTTGGGTTGTTGAGTTGAAGAAGCAGAAGCATAAACAAAAAAGAAGAAAACAACATACAGCAGCAATAGAGAAAGAGATTGAAGCGCCATCTGGAGAAACAGTATAGATGTACAAAGCTGTTGGAAGATTTCAAAGGAAAATTACTTGAGTGAATGTGAAGAGCTGCATAATAATTAATAGTGTACAGGAGAGTTTGTTAAGTCTGTTCCTGCTTTAATTGACTTGCAAACTAAAGAATTTCAAAGTCAAGAGAAATTATCTTATTTACAATCGTTTTTCTCATGGCATATATTTTTATTGGAAAATAATAGAGACATCGAGAGTAGTGCACCGAATCTATACACAGAATGACATGACAAAATTCTAACTGTTGATTAATTATAACTTAATATTAATCGACGGTCAGGATTTAACCACGTTATTCGATGCACAGATTCGGTGCACTACTCCTGATGACTGTAGCATTACTCATTTTTATTTGACTCACATCACTTCCATCACCCTATACATTATGTCGTGTAATGTGGGGAGTAGCTATTAATAGCCGCCTTTTTTTTTTTTTTTTTAATATTAAACAATACATAACTTTTTTTTTTTTTTTTTTTTATAAACCAAAGTGTCTAGACGAACTTGCGTATACCTTAAATAATCTCTAATCCAAGGGTTCAATCGTCAAGTAATTCCCATCTTTAGGGCTCGTTGAACATCCTATTAATATTTTAGGTAAGCTATAAATATGATAAGTGACCCTAAGATGGTTTGAACCCTAAAAAGTTAATAAAATGAGCAAATCTTATTGACCACTAATCCAACTAATTAGGGTTAGTACATATCTTATCCTCCCATAAAAAATAATCTTTCAGAAAGTAGAAAAAAATTCGCTTAAACTATGTATTAAAAGCTCTCCAAAACTATTAATGCATGCAATAGTTAAGACTTTTACAATTATGCATATTTAATTTCTTGATATTCTATCATATAACAAACAGTTCCACATAATAAATTTTGGAAGGTCAATTAAACTTTTTCCAAAGTGTTGGGTCATGGGTGGCTCTACATAATCTAAATTTTTAAGTCACGTATAAGCAGTAGCGGATCCAGGAATTTTTTTTAGGGTGGTTAAAATTTTGAGGGTGGGCCATGAGTGGCTGGATCCGCCACTGCGTATAAGTTCATTATATGTTACATATTATTTCAATGTATAAAATAATATTTTGATTTTATTAATTCTCTAATTTGCGGAAAACTTCTTATAAAAATCATGAGTAATACTACTCATATAAAAACATCTTACAAATATTTACATACGAGTTTATCAAATAGTGAATGAAAGAGAGAATTGAAAAGTCAAATTCATTATATTCATTTTTTTTTTATAATTATTTGTCACCTCGTTTTGTTTACGTATCTTTGTAAGAGGATTCAATATGTATAGTATTATTGAAACATTATTATACATAATAGTTAATACAGTATTCTTTTTTAATCAAGACAATTTCCTCGTATCCTCAAAAGGGAAGGATCCTCTCCTTGTTTTTTGGATCATTGTTTCTCCTTGACTTTTAATTATCTTTTGTAATGCGTCAATTATAACTTTCAATGGTTAAGATTTAATATTTAACTCGCTCACATAGCTGTAAAATTTTTAACTTCTAATTTATTTTTTCCTTTTTATTATTTTTTTCTTTTTTCTTTCTAATAAATTTAATTTATCTTTTTATCACTTTTTCTCTAAAAAACTAATGGATAAGAAAAAAAAAAAAAATTTAATCCAACATATAGCTCTTTTATTTTTAGAAAATTCGTAACCTTTTTCTTATATAGCTAAAAAAGATTATATGCTCACTTGAAAGTTAGTTCCTAGTTCACTCTAGATGAGCATCTCCAATAGTTTTTTTTATTTTAAAGAACATATTTTATATAAATAAAAAGTATCTTCATTAATTTTTAAATATAAAAAACAAAATTTTTATTCAAATCTAATGGACTCTTTATTTTCAAGAAAGAGACTTAATATGAGAGAAAATTAATAAATAAAATACATAGAAACTTGTAGATCATTAATTAAAATTAGGATAGAGAATGAAATTTGACTTTCTAAATATAAAGAGTCAAACTCACTCTTTAATTTATATTTAAAGAATATAAGTCTGTTGAACTCTTGTTTTATGGATAAACTCTTTATGATATAGAGTTTGAGTCATATAAAGAGTCTTTTAGAAATGCTCTTAAGCAACTAAAAAATAAATAATTATACTAAAATGTTACTTAGCATAATTGACTAATACTACACATACAAAATTGAGATCCCAACTTTGCATCTTAACCCATTTGGTAGTTAAGTTGGAAAATTATTTAACTTATCCCATCATCCTATAATTAAGGAGATGTTGTCAAATTAATTCCCCATGAGTTGGGATACAAATTTTGAATTTCAACTTTATATGTGAAGCATTATTAATTCTAAGTGATTATCACATGATTATGTAATCGCCAGCATTAAAAATAATTGAATAAAAAAAAAGGATAATAAATAAATAAATAAAAAATCTAAAGATTTATTCTTGAAAATAATTGTATTTAATTGTTGGATAGAATTGAAGAAAGTTTTGTCAAATAATTGATTTAATTTTAAAGAATATAAAGAAATAAGTATATTTCCTTTTTGAAGGGGTCAATTTTCCCGATAAATACTCATTTCTAGGGTTGCAAACGACCCAAGCCGCTCGCGAATAGCTCGCGGACGAGTTTGAGTGCCCCCTCGAGCTGAGCCCAAGCCACCTAGTACTTGACTCGATAGGCTCACGAACGACCCAAAAGGGTATAAGTGAATTATTTTAAAGTATGAGGGGGTAGATTTCCAATTCCAAAAGCCCTAGACTCTTATTCTTCAACAGCCGACACTTCTCATTCTCTCCTTCCCTCTTTTCCTTTTTCTGTTCTCTTTCCTTCTTCTTCCCTTGAGATATTCTACCTCGGCTTTGCTTCTCTCTTCTCTTTCCTTCTTCTCCCCTTTACCTCTTCTACCTCGACTTTGTCTTTTGCTATGGCATTGCGAATTTTGTCTTGTTCCTTCCTTTTCCAAGCCGCCTTTTCTTCTGCGAAATGCTTCACTCACAATAATGAAGAATCGACATCTGTTCAAATTTTATGATGTTGGAGTGATTGAAAGTAGCAATTTCATAAATGGGTTTGTCTTGATAAATTAATTTTATGGTGGATGTGAGTCCATCTTCTGTACAGGGTGGATTTGAATTAAATTTCATTGGGTATTTTGGTAGATGGGTCGTCGGTGTATTGTAATTTTGATGGCACAAGCACAAGGGATTTTGATTTTGAATATTGTAATTTTGTTCAAAAGAAAGAGGAAGAAGTAGACGAGCCGAGCTAGAACCAAACTCAAGCTCAACAAATCATCTCGAACTCAAACTTGAGCCTGGTCTCTAAAGCTTGTCGAACCCAAGCTCGAGTTCGAGCTCACTTAATTTTCAAGAACCGAGCTTCGAACATTGTAGTGTTTGGCTCGAGTTGGCGCGTTTACAGTCAGTCATTTCCAACCCCTTTATGAGAAAGTTACAACACCTTTTAATCATATTTTAAACTTATAATTGCATTCTCAAATCTCAAAATTAACCCTATAAGTAAAAATCATGCTTTTTATTTTCTCTTTGCACCGAATTCTCTCTTCCCAAAGCAAAATTTATTTCGGAATATTATCACCAAAATCTACTAAGTTAAATGTTTTAAAATCTAAAATAAAATCATAATTTTTTTTTTTTCATATTTCCAAACCGTGATTAAGATATCTAACCCACTTAATTGAAATTTTATCTACATCATCAAAGAAACAATATTGCAAGGACCTCTGTCCTTTTCTGAACAAAATTAAAAAAAGAAATGAATGAGTGCAAATATAGTTGTTTGTATAACAATATCCAAATTCCCTGCCTAAAAATCCCTACAAAAGATAACACTTAAGGGATGTTTGGGTGGGAGTTATCCCTCAGTACAAGAGATAATATTATCTTATATCACTTAAAATTATCACGTTTGGTTGTCAATATATATATATAATGATTCCCTATAAAGGAGTAGAGATCAAGGCTTGACCTTTTAAGGTCAAAGGAAATTCAAGTGAAATGACAAGAAATGATATCAAAAATATTGACCAACAAAATAATTATTCAAACCAATGCTTGAATACTATTGGTGAACAATTGAGTAGGATTGAAGATATTGTAGGAAAACCAATTCTAAAACCTATTGACATAGGATCAAAACCATTAAAAATTGTAGATTTTGACCATTAAACAAATCAAAATTTCAATTTGTTTCACTTTAATTTATTTCATTTTCAACCATTGCATATCTCATCTTTGTGCGTATCAAACCTATTCCCCTCTAGTATCAAAGCCAAGGAGGAGACAGTGATTTAGGATTGTTAAAACTTTGTTTGTTGATTATTTTGAGTACCAAGTCATTTTGGGTTGTGTAGGGCTGTAGGATGTAACTGTTGTAAGTCCCTTGGATCAACCACTATAAGGAAAGAAATAGGAGATAAACAAGGTGAAAAACTTTCCTAGATCAATGTCAACTTCCAGTTTAGGTATTAGAGATGAACAAATTGTTCATCAAGAAGAGATTTGTATAAATCAAAATGACAATATAATTGAAACAAGTCAAGCTTGTATGCAAAAAGACAAACAAGTCATAAGACCTTATGATTTGCAAAAACATTTTGATAAATGTAACATTCCCAAAATTTCTATAATAGATGTTTACAAAGTGGGAAACTATAAAGTCTCAATAGAGAAAACCCCTTAAACAAATCAAAATATATTATAAAATAGATGAAAAGATTCTTAAGGTAAACAATTCAACTCAAATAACTAGGTTA